CCCTGCTCCACCTTCCAAAGCTCAAAGCTCGCTTAGGCGTTCACCCTCTTTGAGGGAGCTCCTGGGACATATGTCTACTGGGCATTAAAACCCATGCAGCTAGATTTTTCAGCTGAGCCTCCCATATCTCAGTTAAATGTCTGCTCACTAGTCTACTAGTGGTGTGCTGCCCTCAGTAGGTTTCTAGAGCCCTCCTGCTTTGTGTTAACTAGGTCTCTGCCTAAGCATGAACACCAAATCGTTGACCATTGGTCATTGTGTTAGTCATTTGGGTCCAGCCCCTACAGAGCCCAGGACTGATGTCCTAGTGCAGATTCTGTGTGATGCAGCCACTCGTCAGGGACCGGACGCCTGGGCCGGAGGCTGGGAAGGGCTCGGTGTCTCTCAGTACCGGTTGCTGCGTCATGAATATGGTTTTTTTACACAGGTTTGGTTTAGCAGCAATTTATGGTTTAGCAGCAATTTAGGATTTATTAATATTTTTGAGACAGATCACAAAATTAGGTTATGTAATTCTTAACAGCACTTAAGCATCAGCCAATTTAACAGAGCGATTCAATGGAATTTGTTACAATCAAAACAGTGACTTAGTTAAAGGTTTGAGAATGGCGAGGGTCACCCGAAACTTACAGCAGGCTTGCACACAAAGACAGACAGACAGTTCTGAATCAAATTGCACACATACACACCTGGGATTAAAGTTTCCCTTTTCGTGAGTTTCATGAATTACTCGCTTTCATGTGTTGGCATTCATCAATGGACAGTCGGTGAACCTCATGAAATCAGGCCTTTGAGTCCTCATAAAATTGTCGACGGACGATCCTTCAATCCTCGCGAAATCTACCCTGAGGGGCGTCCCAGCTCACGGGGAGATCCTGGGTCACAGAGCCCGCTGCGGTCCCCGAGAGTTCGAAAGGTCTCCCTTTTGGATCGCTGTTTATAGGATCTGGAGATGATTGGCTTTGGTCAGTACTTACATTCTGGCCACAGTTCGTGCTGGGTCATTGTGGCATGCAGTTCAGGCAGCAGACGGCCCAGCTGTGGACACGAGTGCCTGACAGCCAAGTCACTGCGCTTATGACCAAGGTAACAGCACGGTGGGGCTGATGCTGAGATCTCAGAGTAGCCCGGGGCTGGGGGGGGCTGCACCCCTACATGCTGAAACTGCTCTTTCTTGCTCAGTCACGCACCACTGGAGCAACAGGCTTGCTGCTCTGCCAACTCAGGCTTCCTACTGACCTTCCCCTAATCTACTGAGGAGCAAACAGAGGCACAGTAGAAACACTGCTGCTATTTTGTATTAGAGTAAGAATAAGAGAGAAAACATTCAGTGCGAAGTAGCTGAAGTCCTGTGGAAGAGTGCTTGTGTGAGGCTTTGGAGGTGACTGACCAAATACGTGTTGAGGTCTGTTCCCAAGTGGTGGTCTGAGAGCTCCCTGCTGCCTACTGAGAACTGCCACGCGCCAGACACCTGGGTTGTCCTCTTCCTTCTCTGTGGTGGCTGCTCTTCCCCGCATCAATTAGCTGTGCATTGAGGGGCAACGTGAGAAACCAACTTGCTAACCCAGCAGTGCCGTCCCTCAGCTGAGGGATGAGGTAGGCAAGCACTAGTGTTGAGCTCTGCTGACAGCCAGCCAGAATATCCATGCTGCTGGCTTCTCCCCATCCCTGGTCTTGCTGCATGTGGTTGCCTGCCCTTTCAGCTGAGCAGAGTTACGAGAATGTGTTATGCCAGAGCTCTCTGTTCCTCCTCAGAGATGGTGAGGCAAATCAGAAGTCACGGTGGGTATATGATAAAGTCTTAATCAGCATGAGGCAGTGAGGGTAGAGTCCCAAGAAGCCTGGTGGTAGGAGTTCTCACAAACTTTGTGAAATCGGATTCTGCTGTACATGCCTGATCCCTGACCATCCTGCATTTGGGGTGGGGGTACTACTACTTCCAAACATCCTAGGGCATTGGTTCTCTTTTTACCCTGTTTGGTGCAGTTTATTGCCCTGACTTCGTTCCTGATGATGAATTTATGCTTCCTCTGCAAAGGATTATGATTCAATTTACATGATTATTCAAATTTTTTCAGTGCTTATGTTTCCCTAAGTTCTAGGAGCTGCCCAGGAATGGGTGTTTGCTTGCTTCTGTTACGGCTTTTCAAGCTGTGTTGGTTAGTTATGACCAATCACATCTGTCACATGAAGTCTGATATACATACACAGGTGAAAGTGCTCTTTCCACAGCTTGATTGCCCATTGCAAGCACGCACAAACAAGCCTAAGCTGCACACTGACCTAGCTCATCATCTCCCTGGTTTTGAGCTATGTGGTCCAACTAGGCTAAAATGCACCAATGTGCCATGGGTAGTGGAAGGAAGCTCCTTTAAAAAGTAGTTATAGTTGCTTTGCAGTAATTTCCTTGTTTTCTCTTCTTAGCTTCTTGCAATAGAGGTGGACACACCAGAGAAATTCAGCTCAACAGCTGATGTAGTGATACGCTTGCTGGATACCAATGACAATGTCCCAAAGTTCTCCTCCGACTACTACATTGCCAGGATCCCCGAGAACTCCCCGGGTGGCTCAAACGTAGTTGCTGTTACAGTAAGTTTCATTCTTTTCTTATGCTCTCTTTTTGAGGTGTCTGTGGAGACAGTTCAAGTACCTTAAAAATATTGGACAGAGGCAAGTAGCAAATCTTACTCTCCATTCAGCTTCTGGACTGAACTCCAGAATTGCTTTCCAGAATCAACAAAAAATACCCACCTCTGAAAAAATAAAGATTTAGGCAAACATTTTTCAGAACAACAGATTTACTTTGGTTTTTAATTAAAGGCCATCTACTTTTAAGACAAATCACATGGTCTGTGAGTACTATGAAAGTCCCAGTCAAATCAGTGTCCAGCAGGAAGATTCAGTTATGACTAAGTGGAATTGGATTTACTGGATTTACTTGCTTAAGTCTGAGTAAAAAGAAAACAAGATGGCTGCTTAGTAGGTATTTGTCTCCTCCTCCTGGGAGGAATATGGCTGCTAAATGCATAATTAGACAGTTAATGAAGCACAAAGATACATTAAAATGCTTAGAGCTGGGAAAGAAAGATCCCTATGTAAGTATCTTCTCACAGTGAGAAAAACATGCCTATAGATTTTCCAGTATCTCACATTTTCATAAAAGAAAGTCAGGGTATTACATGGGCCCTATGTGCTGGAGAAGCATTTCCAGCCGCTGGTGTGAGTTGTATCTCTTCAATGCAGCTTCTAGGACTGTAAACAGATCTCAGATCTCATGCCGCAAAGCCCAGAAAGCTCCTGGCCATGTGGGGCTCAGTGGGTGATGCAAGTCACCTTGCAGAGGCCTCACGGGTAAGGATGACGGTGGCAGGTTGCCAGAGATCTCCAGCACAGGCTGGCTGCAAGTAAGAAAGAAAATAATAAAGTGCTGAAGGCAAATTTTAGGGATGGAAGAATGGAAGAAGTGGAACATAAACAATACAGAAAAGTTTATTACAGGAAACTAATAGGAAAGCTGTAGAAAACAGAGACTCTCAAACATCACTATCTTTGCAGCAAGAGGAATAAAAAATTCTAGGAGGTGGACAGCAAAGAAAGAAATTTTTAAAAAGTTTGCAAAAGCAACAAAACTAACCATTCTGAGCCAAGGTGCACAGGACAGCGTAGCTGAAGAGTCCATGTAAAATTTACTGTCACATGCTGTCAACTCAGTACTTGACCCAGATTCACAAATATACTTGACAAGCTGAGATACTCCAAGTACTCAGGATGGCAATTCTGGCAGAAGTCCCAGGTGTGCCAATGTTTTAGGAAAAGTTAGGCAGTCCTAAAGTAGACTGCGGTCAAAATTATGGGGTGAGAGGATCTGACAAGCTCATGTCACAGAACGAAAAAACACCTATCAGTAGGGCTGCAGGTGTGTTATGGTAACCATGCAGGAATCAAAGACATTGTTCCAATTTTCAAATATTTAAACAGGAAGATGAATGAACCAGCCACTGCTGCCATGAATTTTGATGGCCAGATACAATGGTATAACACCTTCTCAGAGCTATCAGAGAAGCAGGAGCTTATGGAAATAGCTGTTACCAAATCAATAGCTTTCCTAATCCTGAGCTGAGAAAGGAAGCCAACAAAAGTCTGGAACAAAGATATCATCTGATGTAGTATCTGCATTACTAAAAGTCACACAGGCACAAGAGTGATTAAAATACAAACAAAGCTGAAACATTGTGTATAGATCGAAACATTTGTTATGCATTACTTTAAATTGAATCAATTAAACAAGCAGAGGCTTAAAAAATAAAGTAAATAATTTTTTCTAGGGAATATGCATTAATATTTAACTGATAATTAGGAAGGCTTGAGAGTGGGCAGTTTGTTGGTGTCATTGAGATTAGCTTCATCTCTGTTAAAGGAAGGATGCATTAAATGTCAATGGATGGAGCCATCTAGCGGCTTCCTCCCTGCAGAGCCTCTGGGCACCAGCCTGCCCAGGAGACGTGCTGCATCTCAGCAGCTTCCCTGGGACAGCCAGGGACATTTCCTTGTGCTAGATTTTGCAGTTTTCTAGGTGCGCATTTGTTTATGTGATTTCACCCTAAAAATGTGATGGCAAAAAGAGGGGAAGGCATTTGGGGTTTTGCATGGCCTGTTGTTAAAAGAAAAATGAAACATTTCTTTTTGCAATTTAGTAAAGGATGACTCTCTTATTTTCTTAAGGCTACAGATCCAGATTCAGGGCTTTGGGGAGAAGTCAAGTACTCTATCTATGGAACAGGAGCAGATCTGTAAGTAAAAAAAAAAAAGAAAACTACATAACCTCTACAGAGGTTTAAAAGAATTTAAAAAAAAAGAACATGCTCATGCTTGACCTGCTCATTTCCAAGGACATTTATGCCATGTTCTTTGTGAGTTCTGTGGAAACAACAACAGAAAAACTAGTGTGATCACTGAACATCTGCTTCATGAACCCATGGAATTTTACCCACAAGCCCCCAAAGAGACATAAGGCAGCTAAAGTACCAATACACAGGATCTGTTCAATCACCATTTGAAGAACACTTGTAAGAGAAAGAGGAGGTTTTGGTCTAGTTGTTGTGAAAAGTCAGTTCTGGAGGAAATTGCTCTTTCCCCTTCCTTTTCCATATAGCTGTACAAATGGTTCAGTTTCAACTCTTGTCAAAATAAATCAAAGACGACAGACCTTCAAGAATATAAACTTCAGCTGTGGCAGCCAGCTGCATTGGGTGTTCAAAGTATTTTATATATTTAAACCTAGTAGTCCTGTATCAGGAAAGAAGGGAATCTGATGCTTACTTGATTTTGTAATGATGCCTAGCTCCCTCTCCCTGTCTCTGGGGACAGTGCTGGGGTCCGAACATCCTGAAACACGGTTTTCTCCCATGCTGCTTCCATCCCAGCTGTTGCCCTGGCCTGCTGGTTGGGGCTCCCAGCCATGGCTAGCGTCACTGGCCATCACAGATATTGCTGCTGGAACCTGCAGCTCCTGCTGGACATGGTGGGGCTGAACGGCAGAATATTGGAAATGAATGAGCTTTTCAGGCACTCATCCTCAGAATCCGTTTTTCTCTGTACATTATCCACCCAGAGTTAAAGCTGAGCACTTCTTGTTAAGGTCAAAGCCATTTAGGAGGCACAATCAAAGTCCAAAATCCAAGATATTAAGAGTGAACCTCTTCTATAGCCAGAAGGATACACATATGGGAGCATTTCCAGGATGGATTATTTTGAGCTCTTCACTAAATCCTTAAGCTAGCTGCAAACTGCATAGAAGCAAGGAGGCAAAGGTCATGTCATGCAGGCAGACCTCTTAGGTTTAAAATGTAGCAGCTGGTGCAAAGAAGCTTGTGAAAGTTGTTGACAAAGGATTTAGAAAAAACTGTAAGTGCAACTTTATTCTGATTGGCGTTAAGGGGATGTTCAGACTCACTGTTCTTATGCTGTTGAATGAGGAAATTAAAATGTGCAGACTTTTTTTCTTTTTAAGTATGATTTTTTTTTTTTTTTTTTTTTCCTTGTGGCAGAATGGCATGGCTCCACAAGGCTGGATTGATTTCCTAGCTCTGGGACCTCCAGATCTGCTGGACACACAGTTTGAGGCAGATTTGAGAGTTTCAATTACAGGCATGATTTTTTCTGTCTCAGGGGTTACATCAGTGGATATGCAGTGGCATTGACAGAAAAATGAGTTGCACTGGAGTAAGAGGGCTACTGTTAACAGTTGAAGATAAAACCATTATGCTGGTAATTCTACATCCAAGCTGCCAGTGGGAGTGGGGTGCACTGCTGTAATCTCTTCACATCTCAATGCTTCTGTTCTTCCACTAAAATGGGGGTGATGAGTGTCCTCTCTGCATGGTTAGGCTGGGTTGGGTGCTAAAGAGACACTCGGCACAGGCACTGTCTCCTATCAAGAGTTTGCACAGCTCTTTCCACCTCCAGGTCTTGGCTTTCATCAAGACTTGTATTTGTATTTAACAGGGTAATGAAAACAATTGAAGATTCTGGATTATTAAGTGCCCCTTTTATAATCACTCTCAATTGCGCTCACAGTTGGAATACAGAAAATATTTTGTTATCCTGTATGTTAATTAAAGGGTATATAAAACCTTTCATATGTTAAAAAAACTACTGCTTGGAGCCTACACTGGCAGTCCATTTTAAACAGACACTGGGTGGTATCTTCTCTATAAATCCAAGCTTTTGGCTGACACTTTTGACAGTGTCTCAGTAATTACAAATGTGTAGAATTGAACTTGCTACAGATAAATCTGAACACCCACTCCATCCCAGTGCCAGTCTGTGGAAAAGTGATTATTTTTGGAGGAGATAATTTGCCCTACACTTCGAGGGATTTTGAGAGCAGCCATTTTTCTTACCCATTCTGAGAAGCGAAGAGCTTAAATATGATATGCAGCATGCTTCCCTTAGCTATTGAGGTGATATCAATCAATCTTAATTTATGCAGGACATGATCTAATACATTGTACTTATAAACTGGGGGGAAAAAAAAAAAAAAGTCAGTTCCTTAATGTTTCAACGCAAAGAAACCACTCTGGGAGAAGGCCATTACACTGAGCATTTATTGAGGACAAAGGCTTTAACAGAAAATGCAGCTAAAATGGCTAATGCACAATAGATAGAAAAACACCAGACACTGATAGTTCTCTAGTTTTCAAGCCTAAAGGAACTAGCCAAAAATAGGTAGAGTAAATGATTTGGAAACATCAGCCAGACAGGATTTAGGTGAAGAGTACCAATCTTTAGGCACAGCATTTCAGTGTTTAGAGCCCACCTTTGCCCAGGCTGTAAGCATGCATTAAGTGACCAAAAAACCCAAAAGTCTCTCCATGCTTCTTTTCCAGGTTCCTAATCCACCCATCAACAGGTATAATTTACACCCAGCCCTGGGCTGTACTAGATGCTGAAGTGAACTCAAAGTACAATTTTTATGTGAAGGCAGAGGATGCAGATGGGAAATACAGCTTGGCTGAAGTGTTCATCACTGTGCTAGATGTCAATGACCACTCTCCAGAGTTCAATGAAAACATCCAGGAAAAGACGATGATCATTGGGTCACCGGTGAAGATAGAGGTGAGAGACGACACAGTATGTCACAAAGCAGAGTGCTTTGGAAAAGCCCCTGCTCTACTGTTTATTGCTCAGGGATCATGATGAATGCTGGAAAGCTGGCTTTTCCTGGGGCTTTATTTTGCACATCCATTTGTATGTAACAAATGGATTAAAGCATGGAATGATAGTATTTACAGACTGCTGAAAAGAAGAAATAAATTCTATAGGCAAAAGATAAAGTTCTGTTACAGTATTTGAACCATCAGCTGGTGGAGGATCCTGGATTATACAGTGATCATAAAAAGACCAAATAAGATGAGTGAATGAAAGTACAGGGTTTTGAATACTTAACCTTCCTGCCACGCCTTTGTGCTCAACCACACAACTTCTTTCCCTTCGCTTTGCAGAATTGTATTCATTGATCCAGTGTGGAACAGGAGGTTAAAAAATGCAATAACAATTCACAGGCAAAGGAGCAGAACGTCCTATGTTACACATATCTGAATGCATATAGTAAAGCCTGATTACACAACACCTAATGTTAGTAGAATAAATACCACAGGACAAAAATTAAGGCAGCTATAGTTTATAGTATGGAGCTAATCCCATTGTTCTCTATTCAGTTCACATTTGTCCCTCATGCTGTGTGAGAAACTCCACAGCAGTGGACCATTTGCATTCTCCAGATAGGCTACAGTTCAGTTTTTCCTCTGATTTTATTTAATCTCAAATAGAAATCGCTTATACAAAAAGAAGTCTAGTCCTGCTGTTTTTCACTAGAAAATGTAGCATAGCTGATACCAGAAAAGGGGAAATTGTTTCCAAGATGAAACAAAAACAGCCCAGTCATCTCCCAGCGTGGATATTATCGAAAGTGAATGCTCAGAAACTTTCAGAGTTTTGTCTTCAGGCAAAGATACAAACAATAACATCTTCGTTCTTTACACTTCCCCTACCAGGCTATAGATCAAGATGCAGAAGAACCCAACAACATTGTAGATTATTCCATCATGCAAGCAGATCCAGCCAACGTGTTTGATATAGACCAAAGCACTGGGGAAATCAAGCTGAAATCCTATATCCGTTCCCTGGACATCATCCACAACATCACAAAGAACAAAGACTGCATATGGTCAGTGGTGGTGCAGGCCAAAGACCGAGGCTCCCCGTCCTTCAGTACCACGGCAGTTCTGAAGATTGATATTACAGAGGAGGTAAGCAAACATTTTAGAAAAATCCTTACATCAGATGATCCTTGAGAGGCACTAAAGAGTAGTCACTGCTTGCTCCATTTCTGAGACTTCTTTAAAGATGCTTCAGGAGTTGAAATCAACAGCCAAAAAGCTGCCAGCTATTGCTTCTCCTTTCTTGCTAGCTCTGTTTTGTAGAGTGTTTCTAGAGCCTTGTGGTGAAGCTGGATGCTACAGCCACAAAGGTAAAAGACATTTTGATCAGAGAAATTGCAAAGGTACAAAGGTAGGAGCATAATGTGGTTGGGAGATGAGCTTCTTGTATCTGATTGTTAAGAGATAGATACAAATTAAGGACTGTAGACTCCTGAGAGTAAAGGTAAATCCTGACTGCTAAATTTCTGACTTTTTGTTTTTATTCAGGAGAAGAAAATAATCTTTTTCCCCTACAAAAAGTGAGTGGAAAGTAGCTGGGACCACAATGAAATATATCAGACCAGTTTTGCAAGTCAACATAAGTGACATAGGAAAAGTGAGGGAAATTTTATAGAAATTCTTTAAAGTACATAGAATTTTGGATGTGAGTTTAACAATTGCAGTACTATTAGCAGACGAAACAAGAAAACTCTGAAAGATAACACATGTAGATTGAGAATTTCCTGTTAGTCCAACTTTTACATCAACCAAAGAACAAGCAGCGATTTATGGTGAACAGCACATGCTTGCGTGATTCTTATTTATTGTAACTGCCTTGCCATGCCTTTAAGTAGGTACCAGCAGGGAGGAAATGGGCTTTAAAGTAGATGAGAAACACATCATTAGCCTGACAGTCTCTGGACCACACACACTGGGCAAAGATGCAAACCTCTTCCTACAGACAGCAGCTGGCCTTCTCTTGGTTTGGTCAAAATGCACCCACTGCTCTTTTATCTATTACAGTCTGACTCCATTTTCTCTCTGTCGTGGTTTA